TCTAAAATCCAAGGTTCTTAAGTAGGGTTGTAATGTCATGGCTAGGGGTTCAGGTTGGGAAACAATTTGAAAATTTTGGTGGCAATTCCTAAGTCAAGCATAAGAGTGGCCATCTCTCAAGAACATCCTAAGAGTTGAACCTATTCTCAAACTTACAACCTTTCAAAACAAACCACACCACATTACTTCAATATTTTTCATATTTCTTTTCACCCTTTTTTTTTTTGCTTGGTTTTCATGAGTTTTAACTTTCTTTCCAAACCTTTTTGCGTACTCTTTTCAGGAATAATCGTTTAAAACTTTACTTGAACCAAATTACACAACTTTCTTGCTCAATTTCAACATTATCAAACTTGAACCTCACAATCCAATGCTTCACTAACTACAAGGGTTGGTAGAACATACGCCGATAGGTTTGTAATATGGCTAAGTCAAGAAAGGGGAAATAAGGCTCAAATTGGTTAGCAAGTGGGTGAACGTAAAAATGAAAACCAAATTTGTAACAAAACACAAAGAAAACAAAGAAAAATGAGAAGAAATGCCCTCTTCCTCCTCTAGAGTTATATTCTCACGATCTTGGGAGCTAGACGCCAACACAAAGATTAAGATATGTATAGTTAAGGATCCTAAATGCCGCTCACAAGATTAATGAAGGATAGAACAAATGACGCTCCCACGGGATAAGAAATATAGCAAATACCAACCAGGGGAATCCTATCCACCATAGAGAGCAACACCATCTTACCACTTTCCCATGAACATGGGTTTCAAACGTCCTCAAAAGTTCTAAACCGGGCTACCTTAGCTTAAAATGTGTCTAATTCAACCTAAAGCATTCTAAAACCGTGTAAATCCTCATCAACTAGGAAGATAAGCATCTAAAGACACATCGTCAAGAGAGGCAAACCAATCCAAAAGAGTGAGCAAAATACAAATCAAAAATCATTTCAAATTGTCATAATTATGCTTGTAAGACAGAAAGGGGAAAACAAAACAAAAGAAAGAGGAAGAAATAAAAAAGGTTCACATACGAGGCATATAATCCAATTAAATCCCAATCGTCATACAAGTGATCGATCGATAACAACATCAACGATCCCAGGTTCCATAGAACCAAAAGCAAACATCCTCGAACCATTCAACTTCTTCCTAAGCTAAACCTAAGCTAAACACCAAAAGAAAAAGAAAATAAAAGAGAGGATAGGTCTCACCAAACGCCGCTTGAAATGAAGACAAGATAAATTATGCAATCTCACCTAGGGGGCTCGATTTGCCCCTTAACTTCCTTTATCTCCATTTCCAAGCATGAAAAGTGAGCAAAAACGAAAGAAACGACTGAGAGAAAAAAAATAAATAAAAAAGTTTAAAATCAAAGAAGGAAACTAAGACATTAAACAAAATGATGAAATAGAAATAAAATAAAACAATCTAAAAAAAATTTGGATTAAGGGAAATTTGGACTATCGGGATTTTGGATTTTTCTTCATAGGAGCGCCATCACCTACACTAACGCTTGAAAATTCATTAGTAAAAGCTCATTAAAATCACGCAGAAACATCATCATTACAATCAAGAAAATAAATCAACATCAAAACATGATAAATCAAACCGAAGCATGAGAGCTCTACCTCCTATAATGAAATCCCTCCCACACTAGCATGATGACAAGCCTTCCCCCACACTATAAAAAAACATCCCTTTGCTTCTTACACACCCCCCTACACTAAAACAATACACCGTCCGCGGTGCGCTAAATTAAAACATTGGGAGGGGGCAAAGGGGAGAAATAAAGAACAAGGGGTGCTAGTGGCCATTAGGGCCGACTTCGTCATCATCTCCATCATCCTCGCTGTCGTAAGAGAAACCATCCGGAGAAATGTCGTGTGGGTCCCAACCACCGGTGAAACCTGGAGGCCAACCATAGTGACCTCGAAAGAGATCTTGTTGCCATTGAGGCAACGTGTCGAAAGGGGCGGGAAGCTGAAGAGGGATTGGGTGGGTAGGGTCGACATATCGATAGTTGGGGTCACCCCTAAAATCGCTCCCCCTGGGGGCATGATAATCGTACCTGGTTTCCGTCGAGTAGTCTACCCGGGAAACACCGTGGGAGGAGGGCCCTTGCCAATAGAGCCAAGTAGGTTGCGATCCCTACCACTAAGGGACCAGGCCTTGTTAGGGTGGCCAATAGGGGTAATTGACCGGGGGGGTGACCTCACCCCTATCCACGGCCCCACCATAGAGAGCTTGGGTTTGCATAAACATACCTTGTTGGTTCTCCATTAGGCTCTGCATGCCAAGTTGCATGCTCATCATTTTTTGTTCAAGGCTACTCATACCTTGATGTTGTTGTTGTTGATGTTGTTGTTGTTGTTGCTGATGTTGTTGTTGCTGTTGTTGTTGTTGCTGTTGTTGTTGTTGCAATTGTTGTTGTTGTTGTTGTTATTGTTGTTGATCGACTACCATATTCCTTACACCACCTAAAGAAGTGGGTAACACACCATTGTCTTGCGGAATTTTCCATACATTCCTAACGTTCCGCTCCAAGGATGTACGGCTGGGGTAAGGCAAGATACAATGGTGCTCGAGGTCAACAATCCAAGCATGAAAATTGTTGGCATCTGAAGTTCCTTGGAGGAACCCCGACCTTCTCATTTGTTGTATGTCAATGAATAAATCCTTGTCGAACCCAATTTGAGTTCATGAAGGGAAGAAGCGTTCATAGTTAAGCTTCTAGGCAATCCTTGTGATCATTCCACCAGGGGCAATTTCTCCCGTCTTGTGACCCGACTTGATTGCCTTGCAGCACTTGACGAACCAGTACCCCATGTTGAGTCGCCCTCTCAACGCCTCCCTAGTAGCAACCCACAAAGTAAATAGCTCTTCATGCGAGAGCTTACACAAGTCTTGCTTGCCAAACATCGCAAACCCCAGAATACGGTGAAGGATACGGAGCACAGGGTGGATAATATGGTTGGCCACCGAATACCTATTGTTGAACTCTTCAAAATCAGTAATCGTTTGCCACCATCGAAATGTATCGTACTCTGGAAATAGGCTCAATGAAGGGGCAAGGAGGTCCGTCTCAGGGTTCAAATCTAACAATGTATTGAGATCACTAATAGTCATAGTGTGGTGGTTGTTGAATAGTTGGAAGGAAATTTAGAAGTCGTTGTTCCCATAAGGCTCATTTTCAAATGAGGCCAAGAATTCGAAGATGGGCTCTTTATATGTTCGAAATTGATGCTTGATGAACTCATTCATCCCTAAGTTGTCAAGGAGCAACCTTATGTCATCGACAATCCCCAAAGCTCTCATGAAGTGTTGATAATTGTATCTCGAGGGATTTAGCTTTCGTCCTTGAAGGTCATTAAAGAAAGTAGCATGGACCTTGTTCAAGAATTTTAATCGAGGGGGAACATTTGGTCCTTGAGCTTGAGTTTGTTGAGTTTGAGTACTCGGTTCCTCAACCCTTAACCGGGGCTCTTTTCAACTCTTCCTTTTGCTCATTGTGGCCTCAAGCAATACAAACAACCAAACCAAAAGAGAACTCCCTTCGAACTCAACCAATAATTGAAACACAACAACAACAACCCAAGCCATAACAATCTGCAAAAAGGTTAGTACCAACAACTAACCACACAAATATAACTCCAAAAACAACTAGAATTAACAACAAAGCACTCAATCACAATACATTATGATAATAAGCAATTTTCATGAAAATAGTTGCATTATCATCAATACTAACACAAAATTGCTCAACTTAATTTCATGAAAATAGCTTCCAAATCAATAATGTTAACAACAATGTCCCAAAAATCACTAAATATAACACTAACAACAAACAAATCCTTAGCAAAGAAAATCAAAATCACATGAAACTCACTTAAGCTAATCCATGCTTAATAACTAAAATTTTTGCATAAACAAGTGAAACTAAGCAATAAAATAGAAAAAATTTAGAGTTATACCATTTAGTAGAAGCTTGAACACCACTAAGAACCCCCAAGAACACCACCTTCAACTAAGCTTGAACACCATGAAATGGAGGATTTTTAGGTATTTTGGAGAGAAAAAGTGGGTAAATTTGTGAGTAGAGTGAAAAATTTTGATGGATTTGAAGGAAAATCAATGGAATTTGTGAGAAATGGGTGAAATTAGAAGGTTAGGGTTTGAGTTTGTGAGGAGAGAAAAGAGAGCATGAAATAAGGGTTGTGAAAATATGAGGGCGAAATGGGGAAGAAGAGGTTAAAACCCGATTTTCCCAGCTCCGCGCGCCCGCAAAAGGGTTTTGCACGCCCGCACAGGAATCTGCGCGCCCGCACATGGGTTTTGCACGCCCGCACAGGAATCTGCGCGCCCGCATAGGGGCCGCGCAGACTCACTGCCTCAATTCTCCAATTCCGAGAAAAAGTGTGCGGGTTCTAACAGTGCTTGCGCGCCCGCACACCTTTCCCTGCACGCCCGCACAGAGATCGCGCACTAGGTCGCGCAAATCTTCTGTCTCAAATATCCAATTTTGAATAAAAGTGTGCAATTTCTGATAGGGCTGCGCGCCCGCATACTTTACACTGCGCGCCCGTACAGGGGTCGCGCAGAGCAACTTCAATTTCTTTCTCCTCTCATCTTCGATATAGAAAATCCTTTACTCCTTCACCATCCAAACACCTATCAACCAAAAGGGGAATATGAAATTCAAATTCAAAGTCAAAGAAGAAAGTGAAATCGGAATATTTTAAAAAATATAGAAAGGAGTTAGAAACTTGGGTTGCCTTCCGAGAAACACTTCTTTATGATGTCACTAGCTTGACCATGAGGAAAATTCTTCAAGTGAAAGGCTTAGGATCCAAAGGATCAAGCATTATACATTCGATGATTCCAACTTCTTCCTTGCAAAAGTAATGCTTTAAACGATGACCATTAACCATAAACTTGTTACCATCCGCATATAACTCAAAGGAGCCATAAGGAGTAGTCTTTGTTATCACAAAAGGACCCGATCACTTTGATTTGAGTTTACCCGGAAACAAACGAAGCCTTGAGTTGAAAAGCAAAACCTTGTCTCCAACCTTAAAGTTCTTGTTTCGAATATGTTGGTCATGCCACTTTTTGGTCCTCTCCTTATATAACCTTGAGCTCTCATAAGCATCATATCTAAGCTCTTCAAGTTCATTGAGCTTAAGAAATCTCTTCTCACCGGCCAACGATAAATCCATATTTAGCTCTTTTATGGCCCACCAAGCCTTGTATTCTAACTCAACTGGCAAGTGACAAGCCTTTCCATAGACCAACCTATAGGGGGTCGTGCCGATTGGAGTCTTGTACGCCGTCCTAAGAGCCCATAGTGTGTCATCAAGTTTGAGAGACCAACCTTTCCTTGATTTGTTCACCATCCTTTCAAGAAGATTATTGATTTTACGATTCAAGACCTCCACTTGTCCTTGAGTTTGAGGGTGGTAAGGTAATCCAACCTTGTGATGAACGCCATACCTCATGAGAAGAGCTTCAAATTGCTTTTTGGCAAAATGGGAGCCTCCATCACTAATTAGCACCCTCGGAACCCCAAACCTAGGAAAATTGATCTTCTTTAGAAGCTTAAGCACAACATTGTTATCATTGGTAGGTGAGGGTATGGCCTCAATCCATTTCGTCACATAATCAACCGCTACCAAGATAACAAAAGGCCCCATAAAGTCCACTCCCCATACATCAAATGGCTCAACTTCTAAAACACTTTGTTGGGGCATTTTTTCCCTCTTTGTAATGCCTCCGCTCCGTTGACATCTATCACATTGCGCAACAAATTTGTGGGCGTCTCTATGCATTGTCGGCCAACACAATAAAGATTGAGAGATTTTCGCCACTGTTTTGTCAACACCACCATGTCCTCCACATCGTAGTGAGTGGAAATGCTCAAAACTCCATGAATTTCATGATCTGGAATACACATCCGAAAAAGGCCGTCTCCACATTGCTTGAATAGGTATGGGTCGTTCCAAAGTACCTCCTCACTTCCTTGAAAAATTTCTTCTTTTGTTGAGAAGAAAACTCCGGGGGATCACTCCATAAGCAAGATAGTTTGCTATATCTGCATACCAAGGGGTAGAAGTTGACACCATAGCCATGAGAGCCTCGAATCCTATCTCATCATTAATCGGTACATCCTCCTTGTTCTCAAAAGGTAGCCTAGACAAATGATCCACTACATAGTTCTCCGCTCCCTTTTTGTCCCTCATTTCCATGTGAAAGTCTTAGAGAGAGAGAACCCAACGGATCAATCGAGGATTTTCTTCTTTCTTGGTCATGAGATATCGCACCGCGATGTGGTCGTGTACACAATAACTTTTGAGCATATAAGATAGGACCAAAACTTATCAAATGCAAACACTACCACCAGCATTTATTTCTCCGTTATTGTATAATTCTTTTAAGCCATATCAAAAGACCTACTTTCATAGTACACGACACATGATTTTCCTTCTTTCTTTTAACCAAGAATGGCACCTACTGCAAAGTCACTAGCATCGCACATTAGCTCAAAAGGAAAGCTCTAATCCGGAGCTTGCACAACGGGAGAAGAAATGAGAGCTTCCTTAATCTTACGAAATGCCTCCAGGAAAGCCTCATTGAAGCTAAAAACAACCTCATTTTTGAGTAATTTGGTCAAAGGTTTGGCGATTGATGAAAAATCTTTGATAAACCTCAGGTAAAAATCGTCATACCTAAGAAAAGCTCATACCCCCGTGATGGAAGTAGGAGGGGGAAACTTTTCAATCACCGAAACTTTGGCCGGATCAACCTCAATGCCATTTTTTTGAAACCTTATGGCCGAGGACAATTCCCTCCTTGACCATAAAATGGCACTTTTCCCAATTTAAAACCAAACTCGTCTCTTGACACCTTTTCAAAAAAATTTCAAGGTTAAAAAGACAAGTGTCAAAAGACGAGCCACCAACACTAAAATCATCCATGAAAACTTCAATTTCTTTTTCAAGCATCTCAGAGAAAATGGAAGTCATGCATCTTTGAAAAGTAGAGGGAGCATTGCATAATCCGAATGGCATTCTTCGGTATGCAAATGTCCCATATGGACATGTGTAAATAGTTTTCTCTTGATCACTTAGATTGATAGGGATTTGGAAAAATCCGGAGTACCCATCCAAGAAACAAAAGAAAGCATGGGTAGAAAGCCTTTCAAGCATTTGGTCCATGAAAGGGAGAGGAAAATGATCTTTCTTGGTGTTTTTGTTCAATCTCTTATAATCAATGCACATTCTCCACCCGGTCAACGTCCTGGTGGAAATTTCCTCTCCCTTTTCATCCGTGATTATGGTCATTCCACCCTTCTTTGGAACTACTTGAACCGGGCTAACCCATATGCTATCAGAGACAAAATAGATGATGCCCGCCTCACGTAGTTTCAAAATTTCTTTCTTCACAACCTCTTAAAGGTTGGGGTTCAACCTTCTATAAGGTTCAATGTAGGTGGAATGATCATCTTCAAGATGAATACGATGCATTCATATAGAAGGGCTAATACCTTTGATATCATAAATGCTAAACCCTATCACATCCTTATATTTTCTTAATACATCAAGAAGTTTTTCCAAATTAAGACCATCTAGGGTAGCATTGACAATAATAGGGTATTTTCCCTCCTTATCAATAAAAGCATATTTCAAAGAAAAGGGAAGGGGCTTGAGTTCTACATTGGGAAGAGGCTTAGAACTCTCCTCAAATTTCTCCTCCTTGGACTCAAGCTCAATCTTAACTTGTTTTTCAACCTCCTCCTTTGAGGATTCCTCCATTGGCATGACAAACTCTTTAGCCTCTTGAGAGTGGAACTCTTCTTTGCAAGTAAGAGCTTCTATAATTGGATCTTAAGGCTTCATCACGACCCTCCCCAAGCGATCTAGCTCCTCATTCACAACATCAACTCTATAACATTTTTCAACTATGGGGGTGTTGAGCAACTTAGAAAAATCAAAGACAATCTTCTCATCGGCCACCTCACATGTGATGGTGTTGTTCTTGCAATTGATGACCGCCCCCAAAGTTTTAAGAGCTTCACGTCCCAAATAGAAGGAGTGTTAACATCTTCCTCCATATCCATCACTACAAAGTCACAAGGCACGTAGATGTGTCCCACTTGAATTAGAACATTCTCAAGCTCTCCACAAGGTAATTTCACCGACTAATCGGCCAATTGAATTATCTTCCTTGTAGGGATCATCTCTATATTAAGTTTTTGAGCAATGGATAGAGGGATTAAACTAACACTTGCTCCAAGATTGGCTAAGGTGCCCCTAGCTTCCATTTTCCCAATTTTCACCGGTAAAGTGAAACTTCCCAGGTTTTTTTCCTTCTTGGGCATCTTATGTTATACAAGAGCACTCACTTGATGTGGAAGGGTGATGAGATCATCATTGAGCTTCCTCTTGTTGGTGAGAATATCTTTGAGGAACTTGGAGTAAGATGGCATTTGTGTCACAACTTCAAGAAAAGGGAGGTTGATATGCAAATTCTTCATGACACTAAGAAATTTTGCAAACTTGACATTCAACTTCCTCTCCGCAATCCGACCGGGAAAAGGAACCGGTCCATCAAGATTCCTAGCCTCACAAGGAATTGAAGCTGTCTTCTCATTTTCAAGCTTCTTGTTCTCCGAACCTCCTTCTATCTCATCACCCTTTTTTTCTCACCTCCCTTGTTTTCATTCACACTCTCCTCTCCTCCCTTTTTTTCCTCACTATCCCCTTCATTTGGTCCTTCATAGGAAGTTCCCGACCTCAATGTGATCGCCTTGCATGTATCGGGTTTTGGGTTGTGAGATGGGCTAGGTTGTGGTTGTCCGGGAAGAGTATATGGTGAATTGATAGGAGATCCCTTGGCCAATTGAGCTAGTTGCGAATCAACCATCTTGTTGTGAGCTCTTATCTCTTGTATTTGTTGCCCAAAAGATTAAATTTTTTGCCCAAAAGATTGCATTTGTGCATGCATTGCTTGGAGGAGTTGAGTTTGAGTTAGCTCTGCTTAAGGTGCTTGTTCTTGATGATTTCTTTGAGGTGCTTGGGTTTGATTGATGTAATTGTTGTTCCTTGGGTAGCTTCCTCTTGGGTTTTGGGGTTGAGACGGAGGTGGATTTTTATATTGAGGGTTGGAGTTGTAGGAAGGTTGAGCTTGTTGGTTCCATTGTTGAGGCTGAGGTACAAACCCGGGTGGTGGTTGTCTCGAAGCTACTCCACCGCCGCTTCCTCTAAATCCCTCTTGCCTTGTGTTGTATGCCGCTACATGCTCAGGGCTTAAACCTCCACAATAAGATGTATCATGGTTCGTTCCTCCACAATTTTGACAAGAGAAAGAGGTAACTTGAGAGGAGCTTGCTCTACTACTTGAACTTGCATTCACACTCGTGTTCAACTTGGAAAGCCCTTTTGTTAGTTGATCACTTTGATGTTGTAATTGATTAACTTTCTCCAATTCGTAAATACCACCTTTCTTTGGAGCATTTCTTCTTCGCCCCCCCCCCCCCAACAGTATTTCTATGCTACCTCTTCTATTGTGGCTTTAACTTGATTTTAAGGGATTTTGATTAATTAACCACCTGCCCCCGCATCCAAATTGGCTCTTGATATGGGCTCCAATCCATCGTAGAAAAAACGCATGAGCAACCCTTGATTGTACTCATGGTGGGGACACGCTTGTACCAACTCTTTGAAATCTCTCCCATGCTTCACCAAGACTTTCATCGGCTTCTTTCTCAAATGATGCGATTTTCCTTCTCATTTCGGCGGTCTTCTCCTCGGAGATAAATCGCTTCAAGAACGCCTTTACCACCTCCATCCATGTTGTGAGAGTGTTAGGCTAGCGAGGTAGAAGCCTTAAAACAAAAAATTTCACACTTAATGCAATTAATTTGCAATTATGTGAAAAAAAAACCAAGCTTTCTGTAGACATCTACTTTTGGCCTCCTGTCCTGACAGGAAGCAATGACGATAAATAAAACCATCTTCGTGTTGGATCGAAGTGAAGAATGCTTATGGATAACTGGTTAAGCCACAAAATACAAAAGACTAGCCCAAATTAAAGAAAAATTCTAAGCAAAGGTCTAATTAACAAAAACCGATCATAATTAGGCTTAAGTCCGTGCTTAAACCCTAATAATGACGAATTTAGGAGCGCCTAGGTTAAAACTTATTGATGTCGTAGAAAAAGCCGCGCGCATCTTACAAAGTCGCGCTGGGCTGCCGCGTGCAACTATTTCAGTTGCGCGCGACACCAAGCGCAACTTTTAGATTTGCGCTGCAGAAGATTCAGAATTATTCGGAATCATACGGAAAATATAAAATCGAATCTTACCATAAAGCCGCGCGCAAGACAAATAGTTGCATCAATTCTATAACTTGCGCTGGGATGCTGTGCGAAACTTCATTTGTTGTGCGCGACTCCTTATGGGGCAGAATGCTTGAAACCCTAAACCTAATTATTCCCTATAAATACGAGCTTAAACCGAGGCTTCAATAGAAAGAAATTAACCTAAAACTCTGGCAAAATTACTTGTGCAACCTAGTCCTCTTGTCCTAAACACTCTCCCTTTTTATACTTTGTTACCACGGTGGAGGTTCCCTAACAAGAAGGAGTCCATAAGTGTTCTAAACGGAGATTTAGCAAAGAAAAGTGGTAAACTCCTGAGCACTTAGTTAAATCACCTTCTTTTTCTTATTTAAAAGGACTTTAACTATTAATTAGTGTTGTTTGATTAACTTTAATATAATTAAATAATCAATTCCACATAGTATCTTGCGTTAAATAAAGATTAGAATTG